CCACCACCAACGACATTATAAAAGACCTTACCGGACATAAGCGCAGTCAGTCGGGATCATATTATAAAAATAAAGTGCTAAACCTTTAAAAGTGCCATTCATTTAAAAACCTGTGAACTTTCCACGTGACATAGGCATACAATGGCCGTCTGGCGGCAACGCGTCGTAGTCACGTTGTCAATGGATATTTTCTTTATTTGTTCCAACACCAAACTATACCGATACTTTCTGTGCATGATTTCTTCATCAGAAATGTTTATAGAATGCAATCCTGTATATTAAATTCCTGCTAGATAAAAGATTTTTCATAAAAATACAAAAATAGCGCGTACAAACTACCTACGGCACCTCTTTTTCAAACTTTGACAAGCACTTACAAATATTAAAAGTCATTAAAAAATATAATTGTTCATACAGACGTAAAGAGGAAAGTCTCCTCTATCTTTTGACATAAACCTGAACTGCCTCGCATTTTTACTTTTCATGTAATACTGTATTTTTTCCCACAACCACACATTTTCACAAAAATGCCTGTTTCTCAAAAACTGTACGTATAGGAGCAAAACGGTTTGCAGATTCGTAATCAGTGAATAAAAGCCTATAAGAATCACGTAATGGATATTGCAGATCACAGAAAAAGTTCAAATTTGTTGGACTGTGTAATTTGTGTTTCATCGGATTCTCTATGAGCAGTCGCAACTGATGATTGTTGTATCCTTTCTACTTGAGGAGATCCATTTATTTCGGGTGCAATTGTTAGAGGTGTTAGTGAATAGATATTTTTCACGTTGTTATTGCCTTCTTTAGCATATAAATTACGGCGCAAGATGATGTGTAAATCATCGATATTAGTAAATTTCATACAGCATGAGACGCTCCGTAACGGTGCTTTATATCCTTTTGGACCTCTTGCATGGGAATCAAACAACCAATAGCAGGTGGTCTCCGACTGGTTGCTGCATGATACAGTTACTGATGTAAAATTCGCAGTAAGAATTCCGTACATATACTGTTGAAAAAACGTAGTCATACCATTTTTTAAGTTTGGAAATCCTTCATCACCGTAATTAATATCAATATGACCATTTACAGACATTTCATAGTGAACGGTAATATTAACTCGCCTATTATTAAATGATATGTGTGGCAATAATTCGGTTACGGCTAAATAGTCTATTATACATTGACTTCTCTGGGGTCAGGATTACTTCGCGCTTCAGTACAATCACGGTAAGATTTATCTCCTACTAAAACTACATAATCGACGTCACTAGTACTCCACGTACTAAGATCGAACAAATTAAACGCAACACAAGCAACTGCAGCTATGCCAGTACATTGCTTACCGCGAGATTCGATACTGAAGCGATCACTAGCTTGATGGCACGAGCTTCGTAAAATAACTACATTATGTCCCACATTCACAAATCTAATGTTTGATTTAGTATTTATTTGAGTAATCTCAATTTCGGTTGTTACAGTAGAAGGCTCTTCCACGACATCAGCTATTTCCAAAATGTTATTGGTAATATTAGAAAAACATGGTCGTACATCTTTGTACAAAGCATTATTTTTTAATAGCCATTGTAAAGCTACTCGAAGTTTGCCAACGTTTATTTGAAATTGTCGTTGTCGCTCCAAATTTTCGAGGCTTTCCACTACAATCATTATACCGGTTTGGTTTAATCTAACTGGAACTTGTTTGGCTACTTCGAACACATCACGGGCAAATAGGACTACCTGACCTTTGCACCAATCTTGACTGAAGCGATTCTGAATTTTCATGATTTTAAGAAACGGTACTATTCTGCACAACATTTGTTTTTTGATTTCCGATAAATCTGCTATCTCCTCAGGTACAGGTACTAGTTCCATTTTATTCCAGAATGCCTGTGATGGAACTTTGTGCTTTTTAAGATGATGTAGGCAACGAGAACATGTTATCTTCTCAGATTCTAATAGATTTGCAGAAATTAGACGAGACAAAGGCTGCGTGTGCAAAGCGTAACGTTGCTGCGAATATAAAGTCTTGTAACACACTGTACGCGGTACATCAGCAAAAATATTAATAGCCGATTTAAAGTAGTTTTCCTGAAGGAGAAGTTCTTTTCTCCGCTGTTTAGCTAGTTCATGCATATTCCTTAAACGTGCATTCCTTGATTCGATACGTTCACTTACAATTAATAGTACTTTCCACATACGATTTCTCACAACCATTAGACGTTGCGAACGCTCCTCATTAGATTTGTTTGCTAAACGCTTGCGGATTAATCCGATACGACGTGACCGTTCCTCAGTAGATTCGTTCTGTAAACGATTAGAAATTATGCTTAGCCGACGTTTTTTTTCGTCTATCGTTTCGCGCGATACTTTCGAACGAGCATTTTTTCGCTTTGCAGACAATCTCGAACGGCGTTCGTCAATAATTTCTTGACACCGTGCCTCTGTGTTTCTTTCACGTTCTTTAGAAAGACGTAATTGCTTGACATCGTCCGATTCATTCGCACGAGTCTTTCTCATACGGGATGCATTTTTTATAGGTCTACCCATAATTACATATATCAGATCTTTTTTTATTTTATTTTATTAATCAATCGCTGAAAGTAGAATTGGCACGTTTGTTTTCACAAACAATAATTCGATCAAAACAGAAATTGCTCGTTTCTTTATATTCGCTTAAAGCAGAATTGGCCCGTTTCTTTATATTCGCCCAAAGCAGAATTGACTCGTTTGTTTTCACAAACAATAATTCGCTGAAAGCAGAAATTGTCCGCTTCTTTATATTCGCTCAAAGTAGAACTGGCTCGTTTATTTTTTTTCACAAACAATGATTCGCTCACAGCAGAACTTGTCCGTTTCTTTATATTCGCTCAAAGCAGAATTGGCCCGTTTGTTTTCACAAAGAATGATTCGCTGAAAGCAGAATTGAACCCATTTCCTTATTTATATTAAAATAAATTTTTAAAAGTTGGGATTGTAAGAATAAATTTTATTATACCTATTACTATCTTCCACGGAATAAATTATACATTCAATTGACGACAGCGTCGCAAGGTATTAATTCCAACTGATTGCTGCTCGTCGTTCGTAACTTGGCCGAGGGAAAGAGTGGGCGTCTGATTGGTCGTGTTCCACCTTCGCTCACACGGCTTGTGTGTGCCAGGATTGGCGGTGTGTGTGAAGAATCCCTCCTTTCCCCTGCGCCGGCTAATGAAATTGTGTGACATTGGCCTGCTACCAATTCTCTCGAGCTCAGCGTAGCTTCGAAGCCGTAAACAAGGAAAGAGAATATGTATTACGCGAGAAAGCGAGATAGATGAATTACAAACGGATGCCGCGAGTAAAACAAATCGGCATTCAGTAAAGAATATTGCATTTGGACTAATTTTCGTTTTACCTTGGAAAAGATCGTATCGTTGGATTGTTGATTCAATTCTGATTAAAATAAATAATGAATCTAAACACGACATAAATCGGTTGAATTTTACTTCAGTTGGCTGGATCAATTTAAATTGATTAATAATAACAAAACTTGTCCGATTTACGTCGTGTTTGGTTTTGTTTTAATTAGAAAAATATCACAAATCTGTTGATAAAAGTTTCATAACAAAAAAATTAGAAATAAAATCGTTTCATCGTTGCATTAATATTGTTTTGCAGATATAGAGTGGATTGTTCTCGCTCCGTCCTCTTTTCACTCGCTGTCCTTATTTATTTACGTTCCAGCCAGTCGACAAATTTCAAACAATGTAAGAACTACACGATATTCGTGAATCCATACGACGCAAATACAGGGTGTCTCACTTAAACGGATACAGAGCTCTTATTCCGTAACTATTAATGATACAAAAAATTGTTGATATGGAAATTGCATGGGAAAAGGGGGTCTATGTTTTGGCCGAAGTGAAAAATCTTTTGCATTATTAGTTTAATTTTTATTTTTTAAATGGAACCATATATTTTTTTTCAAATCATGTAATAGTGCTTCTCAAAACGAATTCATTAAGCTATAATATATACACTCGATTTTAATCAGTTTTCAAGATATAACGTTTACAAATTTCCCGATTTTCAGTGGATACGATTCGGGTTGAGTGGCTAGTCGTAAAAGCGGCCGTATTGTTGCGGTTTCTTATTCTTTGGATCTGCCGTTCCTAGCGTAGACCCCCGCTGTGGCACTTACCGCTACAATAGGGTCATTTTTACGACTTGCTACTCAAACCGAGACGTATCTACTGAAAATCGGAAAATTTGTAAATGTTATATCTTGAAAACTAATTAAAATCGGGTGTATACATTATAGCTTAATGAATTCGTCTTGAGAAGCACTATTACATGATCTGAAAAAAATATATGGTTCCATTTAAAAAATAAAACTTGACCATCATATCTCTTAAACTAATAATGTAAAAGATTTTTCACTTCGGCCAAAATATAGACCCCCTTTTCCCATGCAATTTCCATATCAACAATTTTTTGAATTATTAATAGTTACAGAATAAGAGCTCTGTATCCGTTTAAGTGAGACATCCTGTATGTGCGGTCCTGGAATGTGCCCCACCAATTCTCTTATTCTCTTCCTTTAGAAGTCACAGATATTTGTTCAGTATTAATCTAGACGAGCTACGGTGAATATCGGTAAGTACCAATATTTTATATTTTAAAATATATTAATTTAGTCCTCAATGGTTGGTGGTTTGGTTGGGTGTAATTCTGAAAACCACTTGTCCCCGATTTTTTTTTCTTGCATGTTTTTTATACACTGATTAGGAATATCATAGTGAAAAATTGGCGACTATTTGGCCATCTTTAGCGAAATAATAACAAATTCTTTATCAAACAACATTATTATTTGCAAATTCTTGTAGGAGCGACGTGTAAAGAAATTAAACGTAGATCCGTTTATTCGATTACTTCCGGATATTAGGATTTGCTATTTTGTAGCAGTGCTGCTTCCATTTGTGAGAAGCAGTTGTATTCATTGAGATAAACGTAAAAAATTATCATTTTCATTTTACCATGAAAATCAAGTAGTCGCCAAATTTCAGTATATTTGTTAAATATCGTATATTCAAAGCTTCGATGTAACCGTTAGCAGCTCGTCAACACAGTTCGACAGCATTGTCCTTACGTTATCCGCCCCGCGTCCCGCAGGATTGTTTTTCATAATTCGACCTGAGAATTGACAACTTCAAACGCTCGCTTCGCAATCACGCGATGAGTGTGAGAGTCAAGTCGTCATCAAAACATTCATTGTTCAGAAAAATCTTTTATCGAACTATTCCCAGTCCCGCGGGCTAGTTTATCCTTCTTCGCAATCGGATTGGTTCAACACAAAAATTAAATCGATACGAAACATAATGACGATATTTGTAATCAGCGTATAAAAGACGTAAGATTACTGAGTTTCAAAAAAAAAAAAATAGGGGGTGATTGCTTTTCGGAACTTTATCCACAAATGCGGATTATTTTTCATTAATTGATGAAACTTTTGTTTTCACAGAAAAATGGACGATTCAACGATCGATCGTAAGTATAATTCCAACTTCAATAGAAAATGAATATACTGCATGATTTAATTAAAAACATGCATGTAATATATATATTTCTCCTTTTTCTTTCAGAAAATGCAATAATGAATGCGCTGAATATGCTGCAGCACATTCAGCAGAGGCAGGACGCCCAACAACAGGAACAACAGTCGTTGCAACAAAACCTGCAGCAAGCTTTGCTGCAACAGCAGCAGCAGCCGCTGCAACAGGAGCAGCAGGAGGTGAAACCGCAGCGCAGTAAGTATCACTGATCTTATCGAACAAATAATTAACCCATTTGCGTCGTAAGTAATAAAAAAAATTAATTTTAAAATGGATGAACTATATACCATTTTAAATTTTACATTACAGAAAGAGGAACAGCTGCCGGTACACGTCACCGCCCCTTCCGCGGAAAATGGCCGTGTGGCGGGAGGGGAGGCGGTAGGGGCGGTTCGCATAATAAATACTATGTGTTCTTCAAATAGCTATTTTTTGTTTTTGTTTGTATAAATAAAAATAATTTTAAAAAAATATTATTCACATTGTTTTCTTTTATTTATATTTAACCATCTAAATTCGATTAATATACTTTTTTTGATTGATAGTTATTAGGTATCCAATAAAACTACAAAATATCCTTACGGTATCCTTCAAATACTGCTCGTTCCACTAAAAAGTGTGAAATAAAATAATTTTTAACAAAAAATATAACCGACTTCGAGATGCGCTAAAAAGTGTAAAATAGTTTATATTTCGTTCATACAACTGCGTAACAATTGTACGATCAAACAAACTTACCTTAGTGATGTTCGATCGTGATTATGCTAGACGTCTTGTCTGAATAGATCAATAGGTAGTAACGCCAGTTGCTCGATCCGTCACAGTTTTTAAAATTCAATAATTTCAACAATTTTCCGCTTCCCGCTATGGTGGCAGACCTATTCCCTCACTACGCCATTACATTTCAAAGCCCTCAAATTGCAAGCTGAATAGATCAAGCGGGTTGGGACTAACTAAAGAAGGGGGGGTTTGATCTATTCGGACAAGACGTTTAGCATAATCACGATCGAACATCACTAAGGTAAGTTCGTTTGATCGTACAATTATGCTGCAACGTCTTGTCCTCTAGATCAATAGGTAGATGTTTAAAGATTATTGCAATTTATATTTTAACTTATTTAAAGTTGGTAGAACTTTGACAGTCTTGACAAACCTTATTCTTATAATAAACTTAAAGCTGAATCTCTGCCCCGATAACCGATCTCGCTACACTCGTGTTTTTTATCACAGGCCGATTATAAAACCGTGTAAACGTATTCGATTTTTCCGTCCAACCTGCGGCTCTTCGAATCGCCTCAATATCCACACCTCTGCGAGATGCCGCGGATGTAGAGGCATGCCTTGTGCTATGCGAACCAAAGTTCCTTGTATCAATCCCACTTTTGGCCATAACACTTTTAAGCCACCTACTGACTGACTGTGGCGTCGCCACCCCATGTGGCTTCTTGTACGTTAATAATAGCATATCTTCGCCTTGCTTTCTTATCTTTGCCGATTGTTTTATGTACTGGCATAAAATGGTCGCCACGCATAATCGCGACTGTTCTTTGAAAAACAGCAATTGTAACATCGGTTGTGTTCTTCCCGGACCCGATGTTTTTATTCTATCTGATATCTTAATTCTAATTTCCGTATCAAATATTTTAATATTACTAATCCTAATTTTGGTGAGTGATGGTACTCTTTGCGCCGCACAGTGGGACAAAACGGCTTTCGGCGATCAAAATTCGATTTTCGTGAATTCGAAAATTGAAAAACTAATTACATACATCGATAGAGAATAAACTGTAGTTTAACGTAGTGTAATCCGTTTTTTCATATTTGCTTCCGTTTTGCCGTGGTTCGCACTCAAAGTTAGTAGAAATTCGTCAAAACGAAACGCTGATAATATTATCCGTAACTTCAATGTACGATTCTAATGAATTTTACTCAGAAAGATACAATTCAAATGAATGATAAAGTTTACTAGGATAGTATAGATTCTATTCAGTGCATAAAGTAAGTTAAAATGTTAACAACTTTTTAAATAATAGGATCTGATTGAAACGAAGTACATTTAAATAAAATCTCAACTTTGAGCTTGATTTTAAAAAAATGCCACAATTTGCCACATGTTTAATTATTACTACAGGAAAGAGTGAACCTTCCTCTATCAGAATCTGAAAAAATCGGTTGCACTTTCTTGCACTGTTTCAAGAAAATGGCGATTGAATGAAATTACATCCATCTTGGCCGCTGCGGACGATGATAGAAAAACAGTACCAGATACGATTATTAACCAGTTAACTGCATTCCACGTGTATATTCGTCATCCAAAACTTTATTTCGTCCTTGCAATATGCCATAATAAATTTTCATAATTGTCGAAACTGTTTTCACGAATGATTTGGTATCGATCATAATAAATATAAATAAATATATTATAATAACACATGTCTTGTCATTTTTTAATTATTAAATCCTTTTCTCTAATAGTTATTAACAGTTTTGAGTCAATTTTTTGTTAAATGACATAAAATATGTCTAATAAGTGAAGGATATTGAACGCGCTACAGTTTATACGTGAATATCTTGACACCCTGTAGTTCAATATGATTTATATTAATACAACTTAAGTATCATAATGTAGGCAAAAACTTCCCAAAATTTCATTAAAATGTTTCCAATAGAACCGAAGTTACGGAATTTTGATCGCCAAAAGCAGTTTTGTCCCACTGTGCGCCGTAGCTAACGCTAATAACATAACTAACTTCTTAGTGAGTAATTCAAAGGTTAATGCTTCGTGGGGCCAAAGAGTCCTCAAATAACAGTACTGGATCGGGGTCTCAGATTTCCTCATATTTCGGAGTTTGAGGCCGTAAGTGAGCCACGCCTCGAAAAAATCTTTTAATTATTGGATGTTGCCCTATTTCCTCTCCCGCAACTAACGCCACGGCCATGTTCTTGTTTGACTTAAACAACGCGTTAGAAATTCCAGAACTTTTGGAATTGGTGCCTGAAAGGCACATATCTTGTTCTCTTGGCAAAATTCCCACCATAAATTTAGCGGTTTTCGATACTGCTTGATTGTCCCGTCTGATAAGGACTTCATCACCACTGGAATAGAGTCTTGAGGCACTCCTTTTAACCTAAACGCTTGCCCGATAATCTCCCGACAACCAGGGAAAGCGACGCTCGTAACGGGTGTTGTTGTCTGCAATTATCAAATAACAAATCATCTTCAGGATTAAAAAGAATTGATTCTGATACGAGTAATGCTTTAAAAAGTGGAAACCACGATTGTGTCAGATATTTGTCCTATAATCGAATCGAACGCGTGAGTGACGCGGATGATCGCGCGCACGTTCTGGATCCATATTGGTTTTTCCGTTGTTCATTTTTTCTTTTTGCGTTTTTGTTCAGCTTTAAGTATAATACCATATAGTTCTGTAATGTATCCTTACAATAAATCTAATTAATTCAAACCCAACACGGTTATGGGCCCAGGTCAGCGATACCGCTGCACGAATACAATTAAGGAATATAGAAGTATGTATGAAAAGTTTGGGCCATATAAAAAGAAGTGAGGTTATGTAAGAGCGACCACGTGTTCGGAAGTAGATAAGTGTGTTAAAAGATAGAAAATACAAGCATGGCAAGTTCGACGCAACCGATCGACCGGATCGATAAATTAAATGGCAACAATTATAGATCTTGGAAGTTTAATATGAAAATGGCTCTAGTCCAACGAGAATTATGGCAACACGTGACCGGGGAAGCCGTCGAGCTGACAGATAGAGAAGCCGGTGAATCGAGAGAAAATTATAAAAGAAAAGAGGAAAAAGCTCTAGCAGCTATCGCTCTAAGTATTGAACCTGAACATCAAATTCATATCATGGATTGCACAAAAGCGTCGGACGCGTGGGAAACATTACAAAAGGTTTTTGAACCTAAATCAAGACCAAGAATCTTACAATTGAAAAAGCAAATGGTTTCGATACGACTGGAACACGATGAATCAATGAATTCATATTTAGCAAGATTAAAAACATGTAGTGACAGCCTCAAGGAAGCTGGATATGATGTAACCGATGATGACCTGGCATATGCAATGTTATGTGGACTACCAAGCAGTTACGAAGGAATAATAATGGCATTGGCAAACCTGGACGACACAAAGTTCAAATCGTCTGAAATAAAATCAATCTTGTTGAGTGAGTACGAAAGAAGAGAAGTAAAAGAAACAAGCCACAGCGTAGAGAAAAAGGAGGCATACCACAACACAAAGGAGGCACCACGTAAGCTGTATGAGCACAAGAGAGAACATGACCATAAGAAAGAACAGGAGCACAGAAGAGAACATGAGCACAGAAGAGAAAATAGAAAGTGTTTTAACTGTGGTAAACAAGGACACACTGCAAATTATTGTAGATATAAGGTACAAAATGTAAAGCATAACACTTCAAATCAGCGTAAGTACAAAGATGCATTTCTATTGGAATTAAATAATGTACAATTAGATGACTCCTGGTTAATAGATAGCGGTGCTACTCATCACATATGTAAACACAAACGTTGGTTCTCAAATTATAGGCCTATAACAGGCGAGACAATTTATTCAGCTGATAGTGATGCTGTTAATAATCTCAAAGCAATAGGTGTAGGCGACATTATGATAGAAACGTATGTAAATCAGAATGTATTTAGTATAACTTTACACGACGTATATCATGTTCCTAATGTTAGAAGAAACTTATTATCAGTATCTCAAATAGAATGTAAGCAAAAGCGTTTGATTATAGATAATCACAGGTTAAGAATATTGAATAAGAAAACTAACATGATAGTGGGGGAGGCTATTTGTAGGAACGGATTATACATTGTCAGGGCAAAAGTTGTAAGAGAATTGTGCAAGCCGGGTTGAGATGCACGTTGCTGGTGATAAATTAGAAGAAAGCGATAAATGGCACCAAAGATTTTGCCATGTAAGTATGCGAAATATTCAAGAATTAGCAAGTAAAGGGCTGGTTAGAGGATTAGAGAAAGTTAATATAAAAGATGTACACTGCAATGGTTGTAGCTTTAGTAAATCTATAAAAGCGCCATGTAAAAGTATTGGAGGAAGACAAACTAAAGCGGTATTAAGCCGAGTATCCACCTGTATCAAACGCCCGTATCGTATCACCGTTCCGAACCCTTTCGAATAGGCAGACGTTGCCTCGTTGCATGCCACGGCGTGCTACGGCTCGGACAATATTTCTTCGTTTCTTGAAAGAAACTCCTATAGGCGAGAAGTTTCGATTTCCTGCATGCTGTTTCTTTATTGTAATTGTCCTAACCATATCATGTGTGGTATCATTTTAATCAGAAAAACGTCACAAATATCTTGGTAAAAGTTTTATAAGAAAAAAATGAAAAATAACAAAGTTCAGTCATTGCATTAGTATTATCTCACTGATATATCCGATTCCAGATCATATTATCTCGAGCCTCAAGTGTCATGTTTCCACTTGACATAGCATTTCGGGCCTTCGCCTGGGTATGTTGTTTTTACGTTTCAAGTGGTCTCCGAACCTATCCTTTGAACAGCAAGAAACCGACAATTTTCGGATCGGCCCGTTCCTTCACCTCCGTATCACAGCCCAATAGAACTTTCGATATTCGGCAACGGAAAAATCTCTGGATAATTAACATTGTCCTTTTTCAATAATCACAGAGGTTCTTATTAACATTGCTCTTTTATGTACAGCGTATCACCGAAGATAATTGATCTGTTTAAATATATTTAGACGATAAAATTTGTCTAAATTAAATTAGATTAAGTTCATAAATAATTTCATCGATTTTGAAATGAATCCAATAATACTGCAAGATTTCAAATAAATTGAAACCCAAGTGACGGCATGAAACGCTATGTCAAGTGCAAACCCATAAACCTTTCCTTCGATACAACGGCAAAGAATCGACAAATTTTTCGGATGGGTCCGTTGCCTCCGTTCCTTTGGAACGGCACGCAGCAAAACGAAACTCCTCGCCTGTAGTGGCCCAGTCCTATTGCCGAACCGTTTCTATCAAGAAACGAAGAAATATTGTCCGAGCCGTAGCACGCCGTGGCATGCAACGTGGCAACGTCTGCCTATTCGAAAGGGTTCGGAACGGTGATACGATACGGGCGTTTGATACAGGTGGATACTCGGCTTTAGAGTTGGTACACTCGGATTTGTGCGGACCTTTACCAGTGAAATCCTTGGGCGGTTCGAGATATTTCCTCACACTCATGGATGATTATTCCAGAAAAATCACTGTATTCACTTTAAAGAGTAAAGACGAAGTAGCAAAATATATAAAGAAATATATAGCTAGAGTTGAGAGAGAAACAGATAGAAAAGTAAAACGAATAAGAACGGATAACGGCTTGGAATTTTGTAATAAGGAGCTAATGACATTGTTTGATGGTGAGTGACGCGGATGATCGCGCGCACGTTCTGGATCCATATTGATTTTTCCGTTGTTCATTTTTTCTTTTTGCGTTTTTGTTCAGCTTTAAGTATAATACCATATAGTTCTGTAATGTATCCTTACAATAAATCTAATTAATTCAAACCCAACAGATTGTGTAGGCCAAAATGGCACTATCAAAACCCCTTCTGCCTTGTCCGAGATTATTTTCCGAATTGTTCTTAAAACCATGGCGAACGGCGGAAAGGCATAAAAATACATGTCAGTCTACGGCACCGTAAACGCGTCTACAACCCAAGCTTCTGGATCACTGTGCCAGGAGATGAACTTTTCGCATTTTGCATTTACGTTTGACGCGAACAAATCTATGTCAAACTTCCCAAATGTAGATTCTACCTTTTCATAAGCCCAATCTGCTAATTCCCACTCGGTTTCAGTCTGTTCCACTCTGGACTCTGCATCAGCTTCTGTATTGTCGCTAGACTTAATGTAAGACGCGAAAATCCACACATTACGCGCTTCGCACCATTGCCAGATTTTCTTTGCTAACTTTGCCAATTTAGGGAATTGAATACTGCCCATTCGATTTATATACAACAACGCTGTTGTATTGTCCATGCGTAGCAGTATTTCACACGAGGTCTTATTTTTAGTGAAGCATTTCAGCCCATAAAAGACCGCCTTTAGTTCAAGAAAATTACATAATGTGTTCTTCTCGTTCCTTTTCACTCCAAAACCCATGCGTTTGCTCTCCTTCACAAGCAGCTCCCCAGCCAGACAGGGATGCATCACTAAAAATTTCCATCTCGAAACGGTCTTCCCTAATCGGATTAACACATGTCATTATATTATTAATCCACCATTCGAAATCTGGAATTAATTCCTTCGAAATCAACATATCCGCATTACCGTTGGCTCTTTCCAAAGCTAAAAACTTTTCGCGTTCCAAATTCTTTGTATATAACATCCCATATCTAACTGCGGGGCATGCTGCTACTAGAATACCAATAAATTCTGCCAATTTCCTAATTTTACAACAATGGGTATTTCGGAATTTCATTGCTAACTTACTTATCTGTGTCCTTTTTTCCCTTGTTAATTTTATATAAAATTCTTTTGAATTAAACAGAAACCCAAGGAACTTTAATTCATTCGAAGGTATTAGCTTACACTTGTCTAAATTTAGTGTCAAACCTACAGCTTCCAGTAACATTCTCGTTTGCCTGAGATTTTCGTAACATTCTTGTGCCGATTGTTCCAACAACAGTATATCGTCCAGGTAAAATACCGACAAAAAACCTTTTGATCTTAAGTAGTGGGCTATCGGTTTCATTAACTTGGTGAAAACGAACGGTGCCGTACATAAACCGAATGGGACACAATTGAATTCGTACAATCTGGATCTATAGCAAAATCTAAGATATTTTCTATACGACTTCTCCACTGGAATCAAAAATTAAGAGTCTTTGAGATCTATCGATGCCATGAACATATCTTTACGCATTAAACGTATCGCTGTCTTTTTATCTTCCAGTTTAAAATGGGGGGCTGAGATAAACTTATTCAATTCTTTTAAGTTAAGAATAAACCGCATATCGCCATTGGGCTTAGGAATCAAAAAATATGGCGAAATGAACTGGTTTCTACTAGGGTCGCACTTAGATATTGCCCCCTTTCTAAGCAATTCACAAATCTCTGACTCGCAAGCAATATTTTCTTGTACTGTTAATTTCGGTTCCGCGTATTTTAATTGTGGCTGCGGTAGGCTCTCAAACGGAATAATGTAACCTTTTACACATTGTAAAATAAAGGTATCATCAGTCAGTTTTTGCCAGTGCGGGAGAAAGTATTGAATTCTTCCCGCAATTCTCACCAAGTCTAATCCTTGTGCTGACGATTGTCCTTGGGCCGAGGTTCTTTCGATTTCTGTCCCTTCCGCTGAGTGCCTCGATAGCTCATACCGAAGGAACGACGCCAGTTTAACTTCTCGCCTTGATGATGGCTGGGATATCCACTTTGCTTCCAACGCGAAGACTGGTATCTACGATTTTCATCTCGTGACGTGATACCAATACTCTTCCGGTAGCCGCTCCCCCCTTGCTTTATCACATCCTTGGAAGCTTTTTCCATGACTTTTGCGGCTTTGAGATTTTCGGAGAATTTTTCTCCAAATAATAGGCCATCGATCGGACTTTCATCCGCAATCTGTTTTACAATAGGATTTAATCCTGGTACAATAAAGGATTTTCTTGTTTTTGACATATCATGGTGCAAGTCCGCTAGGATTCTACCTGCATCGGCAAGGCGTTCAATAAATTTTGTGGAATCGACCGCCAATTCAATGCTTTTCTCCGCCTTTAACACCTCCGTTAATGCTGCGCCGATAGCATTAATTCCCGCTCCCAGCTGATTTTGGGCCAGGTACTGGTAGTGGTCCTTTTTTCCCGCAAGCGCCGATAAGGCAGTCTTGATTTCGGGGTTAAGTTTTGGCGCTCTGGTTAGTGGACAATTACCAATTGTTGGATATTTTTCTTGAAGATCGCGCTTTTGATCTTTCGATAGACCATCTCGCAATATTTTATCCCAGCGTTCCGCTACAGCTACATGAATATCGGGACCTTTTTGGGTGTCTTTGGCTGGATCATCTCCAAGTAAGCCCAACGTCACTTCGTCCAGTTCCATGGCCGATACTATTCCCTCGGCATCGGTCTGTTTTGCCGATTCAAGTGAAATGTGACTAGGACGTGACGTATCTCTCGGATTACGCTCACCGCCCTCTCTGTCAGACTCGATCGCTGAAATCTGCGTATCCTTCTCACTCGAATACGAATGTCTCCGACTCGAGCGTGACGCAGCTCGCCGATGGCACTCGCCGCTCACTTCATCAAACAAACTTGATGAACGGTCCCTTTTGGATGAGGTTAAATGATTCTGATTAGAATGTGACGTTCGTCTGTATATACCTGCGATACGCTCGCCATTCTCTTTATCAAAGTCATCTGCATTAGATCGTCTGTTATGGCTAGAGTCCGAGCTCCTTCGCCGCGATCTCGTGCGCCCGTGTCGAGAACGCGACCGCCTGTATTCTTCTTCCAGGCATCGCAACTTCCTTGAAAACGGGTCTTCTGTTTCGCTTCTTCGCCTCCGTGAACTTCCCCGGGGTGTTACACTCATTACCGTACGTAAATAGCTACTAACCACCAAAATCCTCTTACCGATTTCACTCACGACTGTCCCGGATCACACAGAAAAGCGTAATGGCGTAGTGAGGGAACAGGTCTGCCACCATAGCGGGAAGCGGAAAATTGTTGAAATTGTTGAATTTTAAAAACTGTGACGGATCGAGCAACTGGCGTTACTACCTATTGATCTAGAGGACAAGACGTTGCAGCATAATTACTAATAAAACCTCTTGCTGCATTAACAAAATGCGCTAAAAGGTATAAAATAATTTCTATTTCATTTATACCAATACTCCACAGCTATTAATAAAATCTATTTAATCCGTAAATAGTATACTAAATATATTTCAACCTTTTCGTAGGCGGTGCAAAATTAAAAATACCCAAATATACTATCCTGCCAATAACGATTTGATTACGGTATGGCAAACTTGATAAATAATATGTCGTAAGAAACGGAACGTTATAGATACGGCTGAAAACATTTATAATTGTAACGATTGTATTAGAAGTTGACAGTGTTACGTTGCGCGCGTGCGACGGCGCAACGTAAAAAGGAAAGATGATGCTTGGAGATATAGGTAGTTAAATTTCAATTAATTGGTTGGAATTCGACCCCCAATTCCTGCTTCCCTATTTTAGCGCGATGGTTGGTATCGCTGCCACCAGTCTCGAGCGTGTTAACGCTCTCGACAAATTAAAAGACGAAATGCGAAACACTGGCTAACTGCGTAGCGCTGGTGTTATTGCTACGGCTCTCTCTCTCTCTCACTCGAGCTAACCCGAGATTTTGTGCGTATTAGTCTCTTATTACAATGGCTGGTGACGATAGTTTCAAGGAGGGTCACGTAAACTATTGAAAGGTAGAAAATAGAAACGGCCTTTCCTCGTGTACCTCGCATGAGAAATTCTCGTAACCCAAAAGGGCTTGATAAGGGACGCAAGGCGGATAAATTTCAAATTTTCCGCCGGGACGTAACAACAGCACTTTTGATGTACATGTAGTTAATCCGCAATGGGTATATTGATTCCCGTTCAATATTGTTAACTTGAAATTATCAAATGGGTCATTCGGTAAGCAGCGTGTCATAGGTTGCCAACCCCTGAACTAAGATCTTCCGAATAGAAGAAAAGTTTTTAACTTTACGCCACCTCCGAAAACTTTGAAATGTATTTAGTATACTATTTAACAATTAAATAGATTTTATTAATAGCTGTGGAATATTGGTATAAATAAAATATAAATTATTTCATACTTTTTAGCACATTTTGAAATCGGTTGTAGTTTTTGTTAAAAGTTATTTCATTTTTAAAAAAAGAAGAATGTTTTTAATTGGTACATGATATATATTTCGTAACTTCAATAGACCAAGGCTTGAGTTATCAATTTTCACATCCAAAATTATTATCTGATCTAATATTGCCCTTTAAATATATATTATAAGTGTTTCTCTACAAAACTAACAATTCTGACTTATACCTTCTTGTCCACTCAGTAGACATATAGAACACTTGTTACAATTCCGTGAAATACGGAAAAAAGTGAATTAGGAAAAGTCTTATGTGGCACAATAATGCATACACGAATGCTGCCACACACTATGAATAATTCTTTCTGTACATAAAAATATTAAAGATTTGAATAATGCACGAATAATTAAATGAAAACATAATTCTCCGAATTTTAATTTTGGAGATATTAATATAAGGATTAATTTACAATGAAATAATATAATTTTTAATTACTAAACATTATAAATAAATATCAAGGAAATATCACAATACATCTCTACGATTGAAACCAGGAAATACACATTTTTGTATTTCTATTTAAAATATTTATTTTGCAAGAAATATTTTATGTTAATTTCAAATGATTTTCAGACTCGGCAAGCATATGTAGCTAAAATTCTCTCCGACAGTGGCTCAACGGTCTCCACTCTTAGGTATCCTATCTTTTCACCATCAGTCAGTCCGTACCTCTACAAACGTGTAAATGTTTGTGACGCAGTAACTCGAGGATGTGTTAAACGACAAGAGAAAGGCAGCATAAGCAAGTAGTAGATATAGTAGGGGTCCTTCTCAAGTTTAAAAAGAGTGGCTCAAATATTAAAAGCTGACACAGATGCAAAATTGTATATAAGATACATATACAGGGTGTCACGCAACTGCCTCAACAACCCAAGAGAGATGATTGCCAAGGTGATTCTAAACAACTTTTGTCTTTGCCAAAATGTTGATTAAGGCTTCGTTTTCGAGTTATTAACAAAAAACACTGGCCAATCAGATCGCGCCTTTAGCGCAGGCCGAACCACGAGAATGTTGGGTTTGTTTTGCGTTCAAGCCGTGGTGGTGATCAAGTGCATCAGCACCACAACGATATAGTAGGACTCGTTCGGCAAAAGTTGTATGGAATAATGAATGAAACAAAGAAAAGAATAATAGTATCGAATTATTGGTTGCTCATGAACAATCATGCTGATGCACTTGATCACGACCACGGCTTAAACGCAGAACAAACCCAACACTCTCGCAGTTTGGCCCGCGGTAAAGGCGCGCTCTGATTGGCCAGTGTTGTTTGTTAATAACTCGAAAACGAAGCCTTAATCAACATTTTGGCGAAGAAAAAAATTGTTTTGATTCACCTTGGCAATCATCCCTCTTCGGTTGTTGAAGCAATTGCGTGACATCCTGTATATTGGACGAAGAGGGTCAACTAAATTATCTTCATATTATGTATTATGCATCTCCCAGTTGTTATAAGAGGTGCATGGAGTGGTGATCAGCCCGCAGAATTATAAAGATTCAAATTAACTGAAACTCGAAGGGTCAAACTAACTAATAGCGGAAATTGTTATTCCTAGCGGTGGTTAGCGGTGCCTAACGGTGGTTCAGGGGAAATGAATGTGTAGGAGTTAAAAAGAAGACGAGGTGTCTAGTAACAAAATTATATAATTACAGAAATTCTATCAAGAAAAGTATCAAATAAGTTAAATAATAATGAATAAAGTATTCTTTATGTTATAAATGTTCTTAAATGTTAAAAAAAATACGTATTTTCTTCAATTACATAAAATACTTGTTACATTTTTGAGGTTCCTAACTAAAAGTGTACGTTGAGATTCACGTGCCTAACATTCATAGAAAATTCTATTAACTGACGTTATTCAGGCGTCCGTTCCAGTTCTACAATATACATTTATGAATGTTTAAAAATCAAATAATAACCACTAAATTTATTCTTAGTAGAAAAAAAAAATATACTGATCGAATTGAATAATCTCCTCCTTTCTCGAAGTCGGTTAATAAGTATACAATTCGGAACTGAACTTGATTAATTGTTAAATAAACCTCCTTTGTTATTTTCTTACAACAGTAATGCAAAAAATAAGTTTTTATTAAACGTTATGCAGACCCTTACTGTTTCAAATATCATATACGATCCAACGATAATAACATAAACACGCGAGAATCGTATTTGTCACAGAATGAGAATGCCAAGAAGGGGCCGGAGGGGGGGGGGGGGGGGGGGGGGGGGGGGTGGGGGAGGGGGTGCAACAAAGAAGACAGAGTTCTGTTGACGCCTTTGGTAACTCGAATTTTCTATCCGTTTCATGTCCTTTCACAGAACGTTTCACGTCCTTCAGCCCGCAGCAATGCGAATCTGTCCGATAAAACAGTAGACGGACCATTAGCTAATCCTGTGGGAGGTAAAACAGTGTCACAAGGGAGAAAGCTAGGGGAGAAAGGGGGTATAGCTAGGATAAAGGAAGAGTAGACGGAACGAGGGAAGGGCGATGGGAAGTGCCACAGGGAGATTTCAGAGTATGCAATTGATTGGCGCGCCAACAACGCCAACGACGCTTGCCGATGTCGACGTTGCTTGATTAGAATGGAGCAACACGAAATCCCTCTCTAACCGGCTAATGGCACGCCGCAACCTATGTTTACTGTGATCTCGGACTTCGCTGTATGCTGCTCGCGATTTGTCATCTGCAATGCCAATGAAACGATAACCCTGAGTAGGATACGTGTACACAATCTCCGTGATCGCCGCGATTTTAGCCGTTCCTTCGAATTTTGCGGTTCTTTCGATTGCTCTTCAATTCTTGGGATGCCATTGTGCCTTATGTTTCTGCATGAATGTGCTGGATAGTCACACTAGACGAAAATACTTTTAATGACTATTATGGGTTATTGTCATTTTCGTTATATGTTGGAAAAAATTTGAAATAATCGCAAACGTATCCATACATTAATATTATAAAATCTGATATTTTTAGTATCTGCTCTAAGTTGTCTGATTAGATATGCAGATTATGCACTGGTGTCACCCCCGAATATATTGACCCTGAAATCTGTTGTCAAGGACATGATTCTGAGAAGCTTTTTCCAATAATTTAAGTGGTGGTTCTCTCATAGTTTCTGAAATATAGTTTCATTCGAAATAAGAATAGGTTTGGGTTAGGTTGTATTTCCTGGAAGTAGAGCTTCTCCATAAAGGATTGGAGGGATGGGGCGAAATCTACTACGTCTATTAGTCGTATCTAGTAGTCGTATTTTGTAACGCAAAGCGAATCCCATCTCGCATTTATTGGTGCTTTCGATGACTGCTGATAAATACAACCTAACCATTTACTTTCAATAAGTCTCTTTACGTTATCTAAATAAAACGTTCGCTATTATTGTATTCTCTTAATTTCGAACCCTACTTTATATTTTTATAACGTTACTTCATGAATTTATATACTTAACAAGCAATTTTGAAATGTTCATCAATTATTCGAAAGATACTAACCTAACCTCTTTTTTTTCTTTTTTCGTGGGGGAAATTTTCTACAAGACACCCCCAGCCCCCCTGGGAAGGGGCCGGGGGTAGTGCAGGATACTTACCTAGTAAAACCCCCACGGTGGCCTGCACTGGGCTTGAGGGAGGGCCCCGGGACCTCTGTCGAACAGTTTGAGACCTTCCCCCTCGCCCTTGACGCATTTACACTCCATCTCGGGGGAGGGTTTAACCTTTGATCCTCCCGCTACGTGCAAACTCCGCCGACGCCGGCCACACTTCGGGCCGCGTGCAGTGGCGACTGGGGACCCAGCCCCGGCACGTCCCCCCCCCCCCCCCCCGTCTTATTCCCCCCCTCATCCTGTTGGGGGCGGTGGGCAGAGTTGTCAGGACCCACCGCCCCGTCCTCCTCCCACAACGGCGTCTTCTTCTGCGTGCAGGGTCGGCTAACTCCCGACCCCACTCCGCGGCCTCCTTCAGGGCGATAAGCTCCTCACAGAAAGAGGTCATCGCCCGCCACTGATCCTCGTCGACAAGCATGTTTCTCACAATGCACGCCGGCGAGAGATCCACCCCTAACTCGCACTGCAGGGCGTGACGGGCCCGCGCATACTAACCTAACCTAACCTAACGAATTTCGATAAATATGCAGATTGCTGATACCGCTTTCAACTTTAAATATCTCAAGAACCATAACAGACCGCGGGTAAACTATTAGGAAAAGTTAGTTATCGTTGGAATCAGGTCTTTGGCAACATATTTGGAAGTCAAGATAGTCGGAGGTATCATCAGTAATCTGCATATTCACAAAAGACAAAACACAAAAGTTTGAGAAATTACGAAAGAAAGTGTACAAAGTACATAGCAATGACTCCGTATGTAAATTAAATATACGATAAGAAAAACGGAAACAGCAAATGTGACCAGAACGCGTTCTTCAAAGTAACGCGGAAGATTTACTGGGATCGAATTTAGTCCTTCGATCGAAAAATATACTAACCCCCCATTTTATGTATTCTATCCATGGCACGTATTGCTCGTCGAAATGGAAGAAGAAAAGTAGAAACGAACGAAGAGAGATAGAAAGCGAAGAGAGAGGATGAGAAGGAGAGATTTCAATGGCAAGCAAACAGCACGAAGCATAGCCAATGAGCTTTCCCTTTGATTAAATGTAAATTGTGCGGGGAACGCGATTAGTACTGCTGCCTCTTCGACTCACCCCACCCAATCTTCCTTTAATCTTTTTTTCTATGACCATAATGTTGCTTTATACAAAAAATAATGCAAGTAGTAGCGTGGACTCAAAGCGGCCAAATAAAGAGAAAAATTGATATGATTGCTTTAATAGTCGACTACTTACAGTTTGGAGTTTTTCACTGCATATAATCATTTCATAATCATGAAGTCTCAATCCATTTAAATAAAAACGCTGATGATTTAAAAAAAAGTCTTATTAAATTAATAAATACAATTGAAAGAAAGGTAATTATCGATATCTCGTCAACCCCGTCGATTTCGCTCATTTTTTGATATGTTGTTGGGATAATGATTCTAAGCAATTTTTTCCCATACATATAGCCGTCGCTCGGCCTTAGTTTTTGAGATATTTGCAAACGAAAGATGCTACTATAACTACCAATGAATTCTACGTATACCTACACGTCCGTTGTAGCGTCGAAACCTCTCCAACATGGAGAAATTCCGTTTTTAAAATTGGTATTAGGATCCAGTTTAGGAAAAAGGTGGTTTGATAAATAAATTAAGCAATAATTGAGCCAAAAACGATTGATTTTATTGGCTCGTAAAAAAAGAAAGGGAAAAGCCTTGCGGCATAAAAACCCCTGATTCTTAATATGTGTATAAGATAGTAAAATGAGGCAAGGTGCGAGCGATCAGAAATGTTTGTGTATTGCATTCAGTCACAGTAGTCGCATGCGATACCACTGCTCTACGGGTCAGAAGTACATCCGTGTGATTCGGCGATGAGCCAATGTAATGTTTATCCAGGGTGGTTACGGTAAAGACTCGATAAGTGTTCGAAAGGATGTATTCGTTAAGGGCACAGACTCCTTCGAGGCCTCCTCCGAATCGATGTAAGCGCCATTGAAAACAATCGGGAAATCGTGAAAACACATAATTGAGAAATTCGACATTTGACAGTGTGACATCTAACGTTATTATGCAGAATAAGAAACGAAAGTGAGGTGGCATAGTTGCCAAATCACATCATTTGAGAGTTCTATCGCGGTGTTGCCGCATCTGCGACCATCTAGCAAAATGAATTTGCTTGAGCCGAGCGAGATTTTGATTCCTGGCGGACATAGAAAAGGACAGCGCGAGAGAAAGAGGAGTATCATGAATGAAACAACGTAGGGCCAATCGGAGGAAATATAGTCACACGCTCCGACAGATTCGGTTCCTCCAAACTCCCGTATTTAATGCTGTAACTAAAATTAGTGTTACGCCTCACTACCAGGATCGCTGGTGTCGCTACAAACACATATAAATGATTGTGGTGAGGTACACACGCAAGCACATGGTCCCTATATACGTGTGCATGGTCTTACTTATTCAAAACTTTGAAAAATAAAAATAAAGGAAAGGAAAAAATTGCAACAATATATGTGCAGTAATGGAAATATATTAAATTTTTACTAAAATATAATAAATATATATATATATATATATCAATAATAATATACAATAATATACAATCGAAAATCACGTTCTCCACTCCCCTAGTGCAGTCAGGTTTAACTATAAGAACAAAATTATATAATATTATACATACACTTCATGTAAGAAATATTATTATGTATACTTAGTGTATTAATACCATGTTAATGGTTTTATACATATATTGTATATGTAAACTGAATACTTACAATCTTCCTCTTTTTCTTCTTTTCATTTGCATCCAGGTGTCTTGTTGCTCTATTTTAATAGAGGTAGTCTCTGACACTGTAATAAATATTTTCATTAACAATCATTTACATATGCTATAAAAAGTTGTTCGAAAATGCATTGATGCTAACCGTCGCCACGCGGACCGCGGCACCACTCTGCAGCGCGACCGGCATGACAGCCACCTTGGATGCCGGTCAGGCCGACCAATCAACGAGCTCTACGTCACCGAGAAGACGCCAACAGCTCTCGCTACGACGAAGCCGGTTGATCGGCCATTACATTCTTGTATCGCTTCAGTGAAACACGTGCGGGAACATGACGTCACGATATCTTTAGTTGTATGTTAAAATCAGTGGTACAAGCTATGTATGTAGAGAAGTGACATCAGCGCCTCCTGGTAGTAAGGCGTAAACCTAAAATTTGCATCAAAATCACAAGAGTGGAGCTTGGAGGACCTGGACAGATTCGATGAGACTCTGTAATACACATAACGTACGCGACTATAAAACTTATAGGAATAAAAGCTATATGGCATTAATAATTTCAAGAAAGGAATGAAAAATAAAGACATGTAAATTGATCTATAATATACCACGTGTTATTGAAATTTTTTTCATTTGAAATATAATAACGAATTTTAATATAATTGTAACTGCATATAGTATACAGGGTGTCCCAGTTTAAGTGTGACCGAATTATATTAAAATTTATTAATATATTTCAGATAAAAAAAGTAATCAAAAAAATGCTATACGGCGGTGCCGAGGTGGTAGAAGAGAAGAGAGAGACTGTAGGAAGTGGCGGAGGCGGGCGGCCTATTATTGTTAACATATACTAAAAATATATATATGTATAAATAAACATTATAAATCATTACATTTCTTTATTTCTTATTCCCTTCTTGAAATTATTATGTCATGTAGTTTTCATTCCTATAAGTTTTATGGTCGCGTACTTACGTTATGTGTATTATTTCATTCATTCTACCCCTACCAGCACCACGAATCCGCCGTTCTTTGATGTTTCCGAACATAGAAAAGGATAGCGCAAGAAGGATAAACAAAGGGAGAAAGGCTCACAAGCACAACATTTAACCCAATATTATGCTACTAAATGTTGACCGATTTATATTGTGTTTAGCTTCATTTTAATCAGACAAATCTTCTCCACATGATAGTGAAATTGGTATTAACAAAAAGTACAAAATAAAAAACTTTATTCTGTGCATTAGTATGGTCACATTGACACGGAACATTTAAATGAAGGTGTTACGATCAGCCGCCTAAACGTACGTTAATCGAATTCTTCCCACGATCGGACAAACATTGTGTTACGGCCACCCGCCTAAACGATCGATATTCGAACAATCGAACTCCTCACGACCGGGCACCTAAACATCATATTACGACCACCTACTTAAGTATTCGATAAGACGCGTTCTCACGGACATCCCACCTTGTCAATCATCGGCCCCTTCTCCACCACCAACGACATTATAAAAGGCCTTACCGGACATAAGCAGAGTCAGTCGAGATCATATTATAAAAATAAAGTGCCAAATCTTTAAAAGTGCTATTCATTTAAAAACCTGTGAACTTTCTACGTGACAAAGGCAATAAATCCCGGTTTCAGTCCCTCTTTCGTCTTTAGCTACAGACTCTTTCTAGTCAGTGTTTACTGACTAGGCAATCAAATTCGAAAAATGATTCTCCTATTCCATAACAGTTGCGGAGTGGACCGGCAATAGTTATGTACATTTATCGAGTTTTCACTGTATATGGTGCAAGTTTTATAATTCATTTTTTTGGCATACCATTTCAAGTATTCTATCTGTAATTTCATTGATAAAAAATTATGATTATAAATATGAATAAAAAAGTTTTATGGTTGCACACATTAGTACATGTATTGTTTCATTCTCAGACCTCTTTCTCTCTCGAGCGCCCTATTTTTTTCTATGTCTGGCAGGAATCAAAATCGGCTCGAGCCTGTTGCAATTGTAACAGATGTGGCAACAGCGTGACAGAAGTCTTAATACGTTGCGGCAACTATGCCGTACTTCTGGCTATATTCGCGTAGCCGTTTGTGGTGTCAAATTAGAATTTACATTTATCTGACTTCCGTCTATTTTACGTCTGATGCGTGCAAAACGTAAATTTCGTTTTACGTCTTCCAGAAGTGATAAATTGTGAAAAATCGAATTTCAGTGATATTGTGCTATTATATTATGGGGTTTAAAACTAAATAAAAACACACAATATTAAATTAAAAGTGAACTTTATTATAAGCTCGGAAGGACGTCTTTACTCATGAAAGCTGAGCTAAGAAGTGAGGCTTTCTCCGAATGCAACGCAGAAAATTCGGTGCCCACTTTAGAAAGAAAATAACGGCCTGGGTCTGCAACGTGTTTATTACTCAGGCCTATAAGTTTAGATACGGCCAGAGACCCATTGACTCTGGTTACAAAGTTAGACCTTTTTCTATACAATGCACCCAGTGTCCCTCAACTCCACAATTCATTTTTGCTAAGCTAGTGAAAATAAATAATCTAACACGCCTTCTCAAAAATGAATCGGCAGTTAAAAAAAACTAAAACATAATAGATTGTATACTAAATATAACCAAATTGTTTAAAAAAAATAAGACTATCCTTCCTTGCCTTTCCTGGGAATTACATATGGCCCAACATTTGTTGCGAAGAATCAGGGAAACCCAGGAAAACCTGATCAGACCATTTCACACACTTATATATATAAAAATTAAAAATTTAATCCAAAGTTATGAAAAATATATTTGTCTGCGTGTGTTTTCCTTACTCCAGGCCCATCATTGTCCTGAATTCTACAAATTTGGGTGCTGGTAACGGTTTCGTCAGCACATCTGCTATTTGACAATCTGTAGAAACATATTTAAGTTTAATTACATTCTTTTCTATCTGTTCCCTAGAGAAATGATATTTTATATCTATATGTTTCGATTTCTTGTGATTGCTTGGATTATTTGCAACACTTATGCAACCATTATTATCCTCATATATTACAATGGGATTTGAAATGTCTATTGCGATGCTAATTGCCAAAGATCTTAACCACATAGCTTCTCTCACACCTTCAAAGAGTGCCATGTACTCTGCTTCAGTAGATGATGCAGCTACTGATGCTTGTCTTTTTGTCGACCAACATATTGTGCATCGTTCGAATAATCTAAACAAATATCCTGTCGTACTTTTCCTATCATTTTCATCGTGACCTCCCCAATTAGAATCAACATAACCGCTTATTATATCATTATAATTACCTCTTATATAATTTAATCTGATATTACAAGAACCTTTGAGGTATCTTATTACACCTTTTAAATTCTGCCAAAGTTCTTTATTGTTATTATTTGTATATCTGCTTAAAATGTTCACCGCAGTACTCAAATCGGGTCTTGTACAAATCATAATATACATTAGACAACCAATTAAATTTCTGCATGGTGCTTCATATTTATTTTCAGAATTTAAGGCTAAATAATCTAGTTTACTTGGCAGAGGAGTGCTTACAGGATTACACTCATTCATATTAAATCTTTCTAAGACCTTTTTGATATAAGCGGTTTGATCTAGAGTTATTTTATTATAGTCATGTTTAATTCTTATTCCTAAGAAAAAACTAATATCATTTAAATTCGTCATTCTGAATCTGTTTTTTAAATATTCTTTAAATTTAAAGAATTGCACAAGCAATCACAAGATCATCTACATATAATAATACATATATATTTTCTAATATATTTCCTTTATCCAATATATATATACATCGATCAACTGATGAACTCCGGAAACCCTTCTCTAAAAGACATCTTTCAAATACCTCAAACCAACATCTCGCTGCCTGTTTTAAACCATATATTGCTTTATTCAATTTATAGACTTGATTTTCATTACTTTCAACACCTTGAGGAACTCGCATATAAATTTCCTCTTTTAATTCACCATTCAAGAATGCAGTTTTCACATCCATATGATGTATCAATAAATTATGTTGATTAGCAAAAGCTATTATAAATCTAAAACTAGCTATTCTCGCAACTGGTGCAAATGTTTCGTTATAGTCTATTAAGTATTTTTGACTAAAACCGCGAGCAACTAGGCGTGCCTTGTATTTCGAAGGATTTCCATGTTCATCATGCTTAATCGTAAATACCCACTTACAATCTACTATATTTATTTCATTTGGTCTTTCTACTAAAGTCCAAGTTTTATTAAACTCAAGCGAATTTAATTCATCTTTAATCGCTTGTTCCCACTTTATTCTATCTTTATTTATTTTTATTTCCTCAAAAGACTCTGGAATTTTATCAATAAACAACTGTGCACACATAAGAAGATCACATTGCAAATCACTTTCCTCATATGAGATACGAGGACGATTTTTAATCCTATCACTCCTTCTGGGCATACTTGTTTTATCAGACTGAGATGAAGATTCATTTTGCATATCTGTTTCTTCTACAGATTTATTATCCTCATCGACAAATTCTGTTCCAGAGCTTACTTTTACACTCGACTTTAATATATCTGATTTATCATTATCAGATTTATGAGCTATTTCACCCAATTTTACTGATTTTGACTGTATGTCAGATGCATCAGTTTTATTATCGGGATTTACACTATCCCCTACAATTCTCATTTCCGGACGAGTTTTTAAGTAAGTTGTTTCATCGAAAATTACGTCCCTTACCGTAACAAATTTACTATTTTCCACATCCCACACTTTATAACCATTTGGCTCGTAGCCCATTAAAATACCTTTCCAGGATTTTTCATCAAACTTAGTTTTCCTGGTTTTATTATGAACATAAACGGTCGAACCGAAAATTCTCAGGTATTTCAATTGAGGCTTTTTACCATGCCACAATTCGAATGGTGTTTTACTCAATTTTAATGCTTTCGTTGGAGTTCTATTTATTAAATATACTGCAGTTAAAACTGCTTCACCCCAAAATACTTTATCTAACGCAGCACCACTTATCATAGTGCGTGCCTTTTCTGTAATCGTTCTAACCATACGTTCTGAAACACCATTCAATTGAGGGGTTCGTGGAACTGTTAAATGGAAACTAATTCCTTTCTTTACACAGAATTCTTTCATCTCATTTGACAAATATTCACCTCCATTATCACAATACAAATGTACTATTTTTAAATTAAAATGTGCTTCACTTTTTGTAACAAAATCCTGAAAGACTGAAAATACTTCAGACTTATATGTAATTATATATGTCGCACAATAATGAGTGAATTCATCGACAAATAACACATAATAATTTTTATTTTTAATTGTGGATGGAGTGATAGGCCCACAAACATCAGAGTGAATAATAAATAATGGTTGTTTTACATGGTCTTTATCCTTGGCTCAATTAAATGGTAATCGTGCTTGTTTACCGTTTATACAAGCTTCACAAATATTGTCATTAGGTGATACTTTTTCAATTAATTCTAAATCATCAACCATTTGTTTATTTTTTAATTCTAAAAACTTTGATCTTCCTATGTGGCCTAGACGCCTGTGCCATAATTCATAATCATTTTGCATAACATTGTTAATATGCAAATTAATTTTATTTACCGTTTTCTTATTAAATCTAAAATCAACGGCTATTAAATTGTTCAAAAGCTTACCAGTCATTATTCTATTACTTCCCTTTTCGATTGTAATACCTTTCTCGTCGAATATGGTTGTTAAGCCAGCCTGCTGCATTCTTCGCACGGATAAAAGGTTGTGCATCGCATCTGGGCAGAACAGAACTCCTTCTAAAACTCCTTGTACTCCTTCGTTGCTTGTGACATTTATATTGCCACGCTTCGTTGCACAAATAAATGTTCCATTTTTAGCAACAGAAATCTTTAGGGGTGGAAGTAAAGTTTTAAATTCACAAAACACATCCTCTCTGTTTACTATATGGTCCGAGGCTCCGGAATCAATTAAAAAAGTTAAACTATTAAGGTGACTTTTAAAATTCCCGGCCATGAAAGCGAATCCAGACGTGCTCTCTTTCGCTGTCGATGGTTCACTTATGTGAACAGTTTGAGCATTCTTATTTTCTGCTCCATGATTTAAGCTCCTCTTATAATAAAAACAATCTCTTATCTTGTGGCCTTTCCTACCACAATGGTGACATTTAATTAACGACATATTTTTGCCGTGTTTAAAAAATTTTTGTCTTTTCTTATTTATTTGCTTAAATGATCTAAATTTATTATTAAATTTATGACTACAACTAGGCACTTGTGCCTGAAGCACTTTATTACTTAAATTAGTATTGTCAGCTTTTAATTTTACTTCGTGGTCCAACAATCGCGTCTTTACGAAGGCTACTGTTAAATTATCTTCCGATAAAGTCTCGATTTCATCATATTCATTTTGTAATGTCAACAATAAATGAGACACTTTATTTGTCTCATCTAATCTGGCTCCTGCTGCACTTAACTCAGTTATTAAATCGTCAAAAATCACGAAATGTTTCACTAGTGGTGTATCACCTTGTAGTTTCAAGGTTAATAACTTTTTCTGCAATGCTAATTGCGTGGCCAAACTTTTCCTTTCGTAAATGGCATCTAAACTCTGTAATATTTCTTTCGCTGTCATTCCAGTCTTTACAAAGCCAAGGAAAGAGTCAGACAAATGCTCCACTATAACATTTTTCGCGATTCTTTCCTTTTTAATCCAGTCAATCGTTAATTGTTCTGGGACCACTTCATCAATCGCACTAATCACATCTAACTCACTCATTAGAGCACGCACTCTGAGTTTCCATACACCATAGCGTTCACCGTCAAATGGTTTGATATTTCTTTTTACTTGAATGTTTTCCATTTTTATCTTAAAATAGGTACTTAATAAAAAAATAAAACTTATACACTATACGTTTCAATCACTTTAGTGTTTTGAGTCACTTATATTATCACTTATAACTTTATATTATACTAATATTATAATTATATTGTTTTTATTATTATTTAAAAATTTTAAAACCACCAGTGTTTAGAAAAAACGTATCTGGGCCCATAACCTATTAGATTATGGGGTTTAAAACTAAATAAAAACACACAATATTAAATTAAAAGTGAACTTTATTATAAGCTCGGAAGGACGTCTTTACTCATGAAAGCTGAGCTAAGAAGTGAGGCTTTCTCCGAATGCAACTGTTACGTCGCAACTCAGGGAGGCAATTAAAACTACACGGTATCACTTCCACACACGTTAGGTTTATTGAATTAATAACTAAGTTTCGGATAATGGTTCGAATCTCGCACGAGAACTAACTACTAAGCGATCGTGACCCTTGCTATGAAGTCGCCTGGCGCAGAATGCCCGCCCGGGTGTGGTTTTTTATTATATGTATGAATATGTTGCGCAGTTTCGTTCGCGAAGAAGCAGCCCAGTCGTCGGATTCTTATGTTTCTATGTGTCATCAGTTTCTGGGCTGCCGTACCGTGGGAATAGGGAATGCAGGGTGTTATCTCTGCTAGTCAAGCTAGCAGAGGTTCTCGCCTAACACAACGCAGGAAATTCGGTGCCCACTTTAGAAAGAAAATAACGGCCTGGGTCTGCAACGTGTTTATTACTCAGGCCTATAAGTTTAGATACAGCCAGAGACCCATTGACTCTGGTTACAAAGTTAGACCTTTTTCTATACAATGCACCCAGTGTCCCTCAACTCCACAATTCATTTTTGCTAAGCTAGTGAAAATAAATAATCTAACATGTGCAAGTTCAAGGAAGGGTGGTCTGGTGTGCTATGGGTGAAAAAACCATTAAATCGTCCAATATTTGCTAAAATATTGTTTGCCATGTTGTTTGCTTACAACAGCGTCTGTCTCAATCTTACAGTGTCGAAAATACCATTTTGTTCAACGTATGGTATTTATTAGCGTTCAAACGGACCAGACCACCCTGTGGTGAAGTCTACCCGTGGGTGCTGTACTCGCGAAAATTTCATTTCTGCAATTATCGAGACGAAAAACGAAATCTACGAAATCGAGTGTCTCTCTCACGCATGGCGTATACATGCATGCTTTCCGTTGATTGTGTGAGTGCACGCATACAGGTCATGGCACAAGGAGTCTGTGCCCTTAAGAGCCCCCGCAGACTGCAAACTCTCTATCGGCCGATAGTTTGGTCGGGTTGGCCGGTTAACGCGCACACTGCGCCAACAGAATATGTAGTCGGGTTGGTGCGTGGTGAGTGCGCAGCCCAGCCTACAGTCGGCCGATTGCTCTCGAACAATTTGCTAGTTGACGGCTCTTGAAGAGAGCGGTCGCATAATGAAAGTTAATAGAATATTCTCCAGAAATGTTATTATTGCTTTTATACAACGGAGGAGAAGGATCAAGAAGAGAAACCGAGAGTATTGGGTGCATCCCATCCACAGTGATAGATTATTGCGAGGAAAGTTTTACACAATGCATTCTAAATTATTAGATTATCCGAAAAAATTTTTCGCCTTTTATCGAATGAGCATAACTAGCTTCAATGAACTTGTCAAATTAATTGGACCAGCAATAGTGAAAGAGGATACACATCTTAGACTTTCTATACCTGTAGAGGAGAGATTGAGCATTACGATACGGTAAGATAAACGACAAATACTATTAACTGTTTTTTATTAGAATTAAAATCACAAAGTTAAGTATTTTTTTAAATCATAAAGTCAAGTAAGCATTTTGAAAAATTAAACTGTTTACAAGTCGTATATTTGCGAATCATTTGAAACATTAGAAAATAAAGACTGGACTGTATCGTTGGAATTGCCTGGTGATGGAACCATAGGCAAATTGGGGGATGGAGTAGAACTGGTTGTACAAACTAATGGTTGTGCTGGTGGCAAATTGTTAGTCCCTCGATGATATACGGGAAAAGAGGACAAGGGCTGCTGTAATATGTTGTAGTTACATGTTGATTGAGGGGTAGTCTGTACACGCCTGGCTAGTCTTATCTGTTTAAAAATGTTAAGAATAGCAATCTTAGCATCGAGTTTTTCTTCTGTTGTTAAATTCTGGAGTGAAGGGACAAGATATAAAGCAAAGTTTGTATCTTCATCAACAGTATTAGTCTCTTTTAAGCTTTTAATAATGCTTCGTCCAAATCCGTTTGCTTCGGTACATTAGTCCTCTTCTTCCGCTGAGGAATAGGTGTGGAAGTGGAAGTCATCATCTTCATCATTTTCTTGAGAATCATCCTGTTCCAAGTTTCCTTCCGTTCGTCGATTTTCCATGCATGGAAGTTGTTCCGGATTTCGAGCGCCACAATTTAAAACCTTATCTAATTAGTGCTCGACAACACCATCGGCTCGGCGTTGTCGTCGGTCGAAGAGTTTATAAAAACACCAACGCCGCGACAAACGTCCTACTACGTTTTGCGCTCCTCGAACGAAACGACTCCCGTAAATCGCGACGAATTCGCTACGGGTCCTTTACAAATTAAAGACGGAAATAAAGTACACCAAGTGAACTGGTTTGTTAACTAAAGTATCGACAGTGTCGAATTCATTCACTTGCACCCTTTTCCTTACAACATTAACCGGCGTTCTTGCCTAGAGCAAAAATTAATACTCTACGCGCAACAGAAGTAAAAATAGTAGTTACTCAAAATAGACATATTTACGCCTCTTGGTCGCAGCTTGTCCTGACTTTGTGTTCTTTTGTGCGTTCAATTCCCGACGAAAGCAAGTCCGTAAATTAGCCCATTTTTTTTGCACATTGTGACCTGAAAAACAATAATAATTCTTTACAGATATCTGGCTACCGGTGCTAGTTTCAATACGTTGTCTTTTGATTATCTGATGGGAGCTTCTACAATACGAGATATTACCAAAACTACATGTGAGCAAATATGGAACATACTTCAACCGTTGTATATGGCAACCAAACAAGAAGATGACTGGATTAAAATTGCTGATGAATTCTATAGCCGCACAAATTTCCCAAACATAATTGGAGCGATAGATGGAAAGCATATACGGGTGATACAACCAAAACATTTCGGGTCATCATATTTTAATTACAAAAAATTCTTCTCTTGCGTTTTAATGGCTTAGACAGATGCAGATTATAAATTTGTACACATAGATGTTGGTTCTTATGGAACAGCTAGTGACTCAGAAATATTTAAAACATCTGAAATGGGTAAAAGGCTTTCTGAGAACCGGTTAAATATTTCCTCCGGAAGGCAATTGCCCAATGAAGATGACGGAAATGTTATTTCATTCTCTGTCGTTGGCGATGAAGCGTTTGGACTTGGAAATCACATATTACGCCCTTATGCAAAAAGAAATTTAAACTACACCAAGCGAATTTTCAACTATAGACATACAAAAGGTCGACGCATGGTTGAATGTACTTTCGGCATTCTCGCTAACAAATGGTGTATTTTTCACCGCCCAATTGATGTGAACATCAATTTTTGTGTTCGAATTATTAAAACTTGCTGTGTCCTTCATAATTATGTACGAATCAAAGATGGAGTAAAATTCACAGATACTCTCTACAGTTGTCCTATGACTAACTTAACAATAAATGAAAACAACCGAGGAAGAAATAATATGAATGACGTGCGGCAGTACATGTCGTCATATTTTATTTCTCCTGGAGGCACCATTCCGTGTCAATATAACAAAGTGTAATAAGTAAATAATGAGTAAATGAACAATAAGTAAATAAATAAACAACAATAAGTAAATAAATAAACATACACATGTATCGATACATACCTTGTTTTGTTTTATCCTCGGCACTAAGCTGATTCCAATTGGGAATAATTGCTTCACAGACTTCCAACCATAATTTTTTTTTCTGATTTACATCAGAGTATTCTTTCAAGTTTTTTTTGTACAGCGCCGGTTTTTTTTCAATCTCTTCTATTAAATTTATAATAGACGTTTCAACAATAAGTGATGGAGTACAATTGGGCAGCGCCATCATAAAAAATGCGCACGACTAATTGCGGAGCAGTGATGCCAGAACCGTGGGACGTGGGACAAATTTTTACCCTCTCCACGACGTCCCACGACGTCCCAGTGATTCCCCTACCGCAGTTGTTTCATCTAACACAAGCGCGTTGTCCCACGTGTCCGTGTGAGCTCTGCGGGTTTGACAGAGTTCGGCTGCTTTCGTCATTTCTACGTTATCGGCTCGATGTTCAAACCGCTAAAGCACGTGGCAGCAGCATCGACGAATCGACAAAATAATATAATTTCGTCCATGACAATATGGCTGAATTAAGAAACCAGGAGAATCAGTTCGAATCCCTATTTTACGGTTTCAGTTCTGATTCTTAATGCATTAACGTTTTTTTAATACATAAAAATACATGTTTTCTTGTGTACTTATGCTGCTTCGTTGCTTTATGACTAATGACTGATTTTTCTTTTGAATGAAACTTCCACTAGCGTATTGATGAAATTTTTCGATTAAAACAAGATCAAACACGACATAATTTGAATTATAGTTACTTTATATATTTGCATTAGGTTTTAAATAAATAAGTAAATATAATGCAAATTATATCGTGTTTGGTCTCATTTTAATCAGAAGAACCTTACAATTACATTGGTAAAAGTTTCATTTAGCAAAAATGAAAAATAAAAAAGTTATGGTTAAATTAATATTGTCTCACTCAAATGTTTCTTTTCGTGCCCTTTAATTCTCGGACCTCTTTCTCTTTCGCTATTTGTCCTTTTCTACCCTCGCCAGCATTCAAGAACTCGCTCGAGCTATGTCGTTCTGCCAGCATCACATTTTCGTTACCTATTCATCGAATATTTGAGTGTAACGCAAAATCAAGAGAGTCCAGTATAATAACACATTCTATGCTGAAAGAATATACTAAGTTATCTGTCTAAAAAAATTTTAATAAATCTGACAACAGATTTATTTTCGGGCTGCTTTTCTTAAGTAATCAGCATTTTACCAGTCTCCTGTACGCATCGTGTGTAGCAGTTTGTAGCAAACTCAACATGTTTTCGATATTACGTCGAATACACAACCGATCGAAAAATATTAAAAATGCAGGATATTTTGTGCCGTTTTTTATATGCTAAAGGCGATTGACATGAAATAAATGACTAACAATGAATAGTATAATAAAGGTGATCGCTGTTCATCTATTTCCTTTCTACGATGTATTTCTTCCACAAGAGACGGTTTCCTAACAATTTACAGTACAGTAAAACCTGGGTATATGCAAGACGTCCGATCAAACTTCGACACCTCGCTTGAATATGCATATGCAATGTTTTGATTCGATCTCTCTGACTTTTCGTCTACTTTTAACATCAATTTTAGCAAGTAATTACAATTCAAACTATATCGTGTTTGGTATCATTTTAATCAGAAAAATCTGGCCAATGCGCTAGTAAAAATTTCATTTAAAAAAAGTCAAAGATAAAAATGTTTTATAACTGAATTAGTATTAGTCACACTGATATGTTTCGGCTCTTTCCTTTGATCATTGGACCTCTCTCTCTCCTCCATTGCCTGTCCCTTTCTGCGTTCACGCTTGGCTGGCGTCGCGCGTAACCCGAGATTCGACACCTCGCTTGGATCCCAATCTCTCTTGCATATGCATATCCAGATTTTACTGTACTGTAAATTGTTAGGAAACTGTCTCTTGTGGAAGAAATACAGGATTGCCTGGAAATAAGCAAGTGGTCTCTGCTTCGAAATAAGCAACTGTTAGGTCTCGAGCCACTTGCTTATTTCGAGGCAATCCTATACTACATCGTAGAAAAGAAATAGATGAACAGCGATCACCTTTATTATACTATTCATTGTTGGTCATTTATTTCATTTCGATGGCCCTTGACATATAAAAAGCGGCACAAAATATCCTGGATTTTTAATATTTGTCGATCGGTTGTGTATTCTACATAATATCGAAAATATGTTGAGTTTGCTACAACCTGCTACACACGATCTGTACAGGAGACTGGTAAAATGCTGATTACTTAAGAAAAGCAGCCCGAAAATAAATCTGTTGTCAGATTTATTAAAATTTTTTTAGACAGATAACTTATTGTTAGTATATTCTTTCAGCATAGAATGTGTTATTATGCTGGATTTTCCCGATTCTCCTAAAAGTGTGCGAGGCTGGCAGAACGACACAGCTCGAGCGAGTTCTTGAATGCTGGCGAGCGTAGAAAAGGACAAATAGCGAAAGAGAAAGAGGTCCGAGAATTAAAGGGCACGAAAAGAAACATTTGAGTGAGACAATATTAATTTAACCATAACTTTTTTATTTTTCATTTTTGCTAAATGAAACTTTTACCAATGTAATTGTAAGGTTCTTCTGATTAAAATGAGACCAAACACGATATAATTTGCATTATATTTACTTATTTATTTAAAACCTAATGCAAATATATAAAGTAACTATAATTCAAATTATGTCGTGTTTGATCTTGTTTTAATCGAAAAATTTCATCAATACGCTAGTGGAAGTTTCATTCAAAAGAAAAATCAGTCATTAGTCATTATAAAGCAACGAAGCGAAAGTGCAGCATAAGTACACAAAAAAAATATAAGGTTTATAGCAAGCTTAACATTTTCTATTGTATTATGGTAATCACTATATTATAGTTTTGTTTCCTTGTTGTATTATAGGAAAGTAAAATGTGCAATATCGTATAAGCGTGGACCAGGTGCAATAGTTGCAAGAAACCTGATATGTATATAACAAATTAAATGAGGAATCAAATTGTATCTAATCCATCTTTCATTGTAATGACCATTCAGAGAATAAAATTATAATAGTTGTAAGGAATAAGAAATAAAACTGACAAACCGTTAAAGATTGAAATTTCTTTATATCCTTACAATTTAACCTAACCAATTTTCCTCGTATGTCTTCGAATTTTCGTATTGTAATAGTTAGAATAACTGTAATATCTAATTGAAGAAATTACTTAAATATTAATTAAAAAAATATCAAAGAAAGATGCAGTTCAACTCCTTTTTTTAACTGCTTCCCAAGTTAATGTATTTCATAGTATTAATGTATTAAAAATGTATTTTTATGTATTTAAAAAACGTTAATGCATTAAGAATCAGAACTGAAACCGTAAAATCGGGATTCGAACTGATTCTCCTGGTTTCTTAATTCAGCCATATTGCCATGGACGAAATTATATTATTTTGTCGATTCGTCGATGCTACTGCCACGTGCTTTAGCGGCTTGAGCATCGAGCCGATATCGTAGAAATGACGAGAGCAGCCGAACTCTGCCAAACCCGCAGAGCTCACACGGACACGTGGGACAACGCGCTTGTGTTAGATGAAACAACTGCGGTAGGGGAGTCACTGGGACGTCGTGGGACGTCGTGGAGAGGGTAAAGATTTGTCCCGCGTCCCACGGTTCTGGCATCACTGCTGCGGAGAGAATTGAACAATCGGCCGAGTCGGCAAAAAGACAATCGGCAAGTGTGCGCGCGGCTACAAGCCGCCATACTGATTAGCAGTTGGCCGATAGTTCGCCGATGGTTTAGTTTGAATGCAATCGTGTAGCCCATCAAACTTATTTATCGGCCGATACCGAATCGTTGTAATATGCGCACTTGCATACATCTTCATACTGATTAAGAACCCGACCGAACTATCGGCCGATAGAAAGTCTGCAGTCTGCGGAGGCAAAGTGGTTTCAACCTCGAACTACATTCTGGACGAACTTTGGCGTTGAAAGGTACGAAGAAAGTAGAAGCTGTAATACAGTCAATTCCATCCACTACTCATAGCTACACTATACAACCTACAATATCTGCAAGCGGAAAACTGCTATCTCCTCTCTTCGTCGTGTTAAAGGAAACATCTGGAGAGTTTGGACCTAAGGTGCAGCAGACTATGTTTAAACCAACGAACATTTTGGCTACCGCGTTAACATTTGGAAAACTGACCAATGAACATTTTAAAATTTGGTTAAAAGAAGTTTACTTTCCTAATACAAACGATAAGACTGCTTTACTATTAGATTCTTGGAGTGGACATTGTGGTCGTAGTATTGTGGAAGCTACACCGGAAAATAAAGAATTAGTAGTATTTACGATTCCAGCAGGGACTACAAAATATTTACAACCATTAGACGTGTACGGATTTCGTGTATGGAAAAATTTTGTTCGCCGATTTTCGGACACAGTTATCCTGTTACATTACGAGATTAATCTCCACACGAGGGACAATATTTTAAAACTTCAATCGCTGGCTCATAATCAATTTTCTTCCCCGCGATTTGAAAATTTTATTAAATATTCATGGTATAAAAGTGGATATGTATCATCGAGACCACCTCATTTTGAAAATCCCGTGGAGTTCTGCTATGCTGCAGATAATGAACCACGATGTCACGTATGTGGTGATGTGGCTATTATTACTCGTGCTTGGTGCCGAAAGCCTTTATGTTTGAAGCATTTCTTCGATGATTATCATTTTTGTCATGAGTATGTTCCTTAAGTTATACAAATCACTTGTTGCATATTAAAATTATCAATTTAATACATCTACCATCGAGTATGTATAACTTTAATTATTTTATATCATGCGATACAAATTTAACAAGATTAAACATTGTATGTTATAAAAATAGTTGTTTTCCACTTACGCGGATAAGTAATATCGGTATAACGTCAGGTACGATTAAAGTATCACGCGCTGACTCAGCGGGCATTCGTGCGATAATAAAAATCTACGAAACTGTAGGAGGCAATTTCATAAACATATATATCAATGGATTTGGAATAAAATGCTCTACATTTTTTGTCATTACATAAATTTAAATAAGTTGTAAAATAATGTTATAAAAATTTTTTTTGTTATAAACAAATGGTATTTTCGACAATCTGTTAACGCCATATCATTGTATACAAAAAACCATTAAATCCGCCCATTAGAAGTTTTCACGTATCTTCTTTGGTTTTCGAGATAGCAGTTTCAGGTCGAAACTTTG